CCCATCTAGCGGCGGCAGGCCATTCCACAACCGGTTCGCACGTGGAATTCAAATTCCCTGAACTTTTGGGTAGCACCTCGTAGAAGGACAAAAGGTTTTGAACTGAATGATAGCAAGTACTCGCTAAATTTAATCTGCTCTTAACTTCGTCATACGTCATTCTGGTTTGTTAGTGTCGTACCCAAGAACTTGAATTTTGTCACATTTTTTGAACGATTCATTAGCTATCCTTATTTTCTGGTTCTGTCATGAGTTCTGATGCCGAGACATGATCATATTCTTTGTCTTTTCTACATTTATTTCTAGGCCATCATCTCTACTAGCCCTTAAAAGTGTTTCCGTGTTTTCTTTCATAGTATTTTTATTATCGCCCATCAGATTAATATCATCAGCATAGACTGAAAGCTGATATATTCCATTCAGTTTCAAACCGCCTTTACTTTCTGCGTTTCCTGATGGCATATTCTAAGGCAAAATTTAAAAACAGCTGCGACAGAGCATCTCCCTGTTTTAGGCCATTCTGAATAGGAATTATATCGGACAAATGTTTACAGACACGAATTTTGCTAGAGGTTTCATTTAAACACGTTTTAATTATGTAAGATTTGAGATTTTCACAGCGGTGAGTACGAAGATTTCTGTCATCGTCCTGATGACGGAGGCAGTATGACCTCTGAAACGTTGGTAAACATCTACCAGACTACTCAGGGCAACAACTCAGAAGACAGGAATCTTCACGTTTTAATTAGCCTGACTCGCTTCAAATTCAAGCGAAATATTGTAAAGAGCTTCTCTTTAACTGAGTCATAGGGTTTTAGAGGTTTATAAATAGTTGGACTTTCCTATTGTACTCCCACTTTTTCTCTAGTAACTGGCGATTGTAGAAAATTTAAACAGTTGTAGATCTATTACGACGGAACTTACACTGATGATCCCCAATAATCTCATTGGCACATAGATTTAGCCTCGCCAGAAGAATTTTGAACAAAATTTTGTAGGCAGATGACAAGAGGGAGATGGCATGGAACCATGCATTATATTGCACTAAATGTGGCTACGAAAGGCATCAAATATTATTTGTTAAAACGAAAAACTACACATGTTTAAAATCAAAATTATTGTACTTATCAATCGATTATAAAAGTTGGATTGCATTTATCTAGGTCTGTTTACATTATCAGTTTCCTTTCTCTCTCTTCACATCTTCAATCGACAACTAAAAATTACTAGTGTAGGACTCAAAAATTATCTATCCTCTTTCTTCCAGTTCCTTATTTCTTTCCTTGTTGCACCTCCTTTCCTCTTTCTCACCCCTTTCACATCTCATTACTCTCAGCCCTTCTCACCTTTATTGCTAGCGTGCCCTCTTTTCAGTTCACACACATCACATTGACTAAGAACTTACTACTCCACGTCTCTTTCTTATGTCGCTTTACAAGCCCAAATTAAACAGGATTAAACCCACACTTCGTGACGTAATAACATGGGGAAAGGAGGCGGGTATCTGAACGAAGCAATGTAGAGAACTGGATTCGATAATGTGAGGATAACATTACACTGTTATTCCATGAAGCCACGTTTCGAGTGCACGTCATTAGTCAGAATTAATTAGCACTAAGACCGCTACAAAACGTAGTGTAGCTCTTTCTTTACGTGTCACAGGAAAGGAAAAATCTAGAAATTACGTATTATATTAATGTAATTGAAAAACACTCACCGACATAAGGCTAATAAATTGTTCATCTTCCTGAGTCATGAAATCAGTCCGCACCCTCACACCTAATATCCCTTTCAATATTATCCCATCATTAAGATAAATATGTCCCTTCAAGTTTTATAACCAATATTTTATACGCGTTACAAGTTCAGCCCATTCAAGTTACATATATTTGACAACAGCCGACTTGGTAATGAACACAAATCCAATTACTTCGTTCTATTGCGTCTAAATAATCTCCTCGGCACCTTGTTCTCAAACATGTTCACTCAGTCTGTGCTATTATTATAGCGCATTACGTGTATCATAAATATACAAGTTCGCAGAAGTATTCAATTTAGAAAGGTCGAGTTGTACCTCTAATTTATAACTAACTTTTCCCCAAGGAAAAAATATTACTGGCAAAACACTGAGGAGATCTGAAATTTAAAGCAGAGTTTTAATTTTATAACCTATATTAAAGCTATTATGGCACATGTATGACCTCGACGTAGATGAAAGAATGTCGAATACTAATTAACTAACTCACTGGTAGCAGAACCCGCAGTTTCAACGCAGATAACATCAAAGCCCGCCACCGGCCACGAACCTGAGCCAACTCCATCCACTTTCACCCTCACAGCCCACCGCCCTGAAATCCAACTTGATGCTATCCTCCCATCTCCTTCTTGGTCTGCCTAGAGTTTGTTTTCCAGAAGGAAAATTCTGCAAGCACTCCTTGCCTCCCCCATGCGTACTACATGTCCAGACCATTTGAGCCTCCTAGATTTCACTATCCCTTTATGCTACGTGACCCGTACAATTCACGCAGCTCCTCGTTATACCATATTCTGAATTCCCACTTATTTCACCCCTCATAGGTCCAAATATCTTCCTAAGCGTCTTGTTTTCAAACAATTGTAACCTACGTTCTTCTTTCAAGGTAAAATACCATTTTTCTCAACCATACAAGACAACAAGAAAAATTATATTTTTATCCTGATCTTCAGTGTTTTCGATACTAAACCAGATGATAACATTTTTTGAATTGAATAAACACAATCGTTCCCCGAACGTATTCTACTCTTAATTTCGTCATGGAACTCATTTCTATTTGTTATTGTTGTTCCCAGATACTTAAGTTTTTTAAACATTTTCAAATGATGTGTTACTTGTAATTATGTTCCGACGTTTTTGCTGATGTTGATCTCGTATTACGCTCATGTATTTAGTTTCGTCTACATTTACTTCTAGGCCTATTTCCTTGCTAGCCTGTAGGAGAGTTTCTGCATTCTTGGTTATGGTACCCACACCATCCCCCAGAAATTGACACCATCAGCATGGGCAAGTACCTGGTGCAGCCAGCCCTTCCTGATTCCCTCTGACTTTCCTAATGACATGTACTACAGCAAAATTAAAAAACATTGAGAATAAAGCATCCCCAGTTTTAGGGCATTGTGCACTGGGAACGGAAACGACAAATGTTACCTATACGAACTCTACTACATATCACATCTGTACACATCTTCATCAACCTAACAAGTATCTTTGGTATTCCAAACTCAAACAAAATGCCATACAATACCTCTCTTCTAAGTCAAATGCCTTCCTAAAGTCTGTGCTGATCCATTATACTCCCATTCTTCTCTAATATTTGTCGAATGCAAAGGATCTGATCAATAGTTGACCTATTACGGCTGAATCCGCATTGATTGTTCCCCGATAGTTTCATTCGTAAATAGCTTTAACCATGTCAGAAAAATATTCGATAAATATACCCACACAGGAACAAAATCTATTGGAACGTTGCTTATGTCGATTTGAAATTTTACAATATACTAACCACGCATACCTGCACCTGAATTTAGTAGTTACTTAATTAATTTATTATTTAGCAGACTTAATGGACTGCAGTTCATCTTTGGATGCGAACAGTCGAATACAGTGGTTTGCGGTTGATTGGGACACTTAGGGACTAGAACACTTTGGCCCAATTAAGCGGCTGCTCCAAATATGCGAAGTTCCACGTAAAGAGTTAAAACGGTTTGTTATTTAAGATTTGTCCCAAAAAAAAAATACTGCTCAGATTAACCGGAAACTACTGTAGTAGATCAGAACATCTAGAGTGGAGTTCTGTTCCGTTTACATTTAAAAGGCAGGTAGGTTTATTGGTTGGCTGTAGTGTGGCGTTTGAGCGTCACTTAGCAACTCACACTGCGTGGTACAGTTAGTTGACATGCCTGGCGGGCCTGTGGGCGCCCGGTGCTGGAAATGCGACGGCAAGCAGTCAACAGCATGGCCGCAGATGCCCGCCATGTTCTCCGCCGTGGGCAGACACACTATTGTCCCCATGCCAACCAGCTCTAAGGCGCTTAACCGCCTACCTGCAGCTGCTGTCACTCCTGTTGCGACTGAGTCGTCTGCAGGAAGCAAGCATGTCGACTGTGGCTGTACAAAGGGAAATAATGTAAAAAA